CAGGAAGGGCTTAAGTAATACCTATTAAGTAAGAAATAAACATCACACCACAGAATTCGTTTTTACTGGCAAATCAAAACAAACCCAGACTTAAGAAGAAACTTTATTTGAAAAGACTATTGCAGTAGGGAGAATGTTCTGACTGCAAGTTCTGCAAGTGTCTCAAAATAGAACAGAGAAGGGTGTTTCTTTTATGGGGAAGGGTAAACAGGGATAACAGGAAATGTGTGTGGAGAGCAGGATCGGGGATAAGTGGTGGGAGTGAGCAGACAGCATGATGGGAGGGGGAAGCACTTCTCTGTGTTTAGCCAATTGTCAGAAAGAGCTGTTGAGGAGATATGCTTCCATCTTACTGCTTGCTTAAGCCTGGGAGTGAGCCAAGGCTCAGGGCCTGTGAAGAGCGGAAAGGCCTGACTGAAGTTTGATTAAGCCAAGTCAGTGGGTATGCTACGGGTCATTGTGAGCACTCAGTCCCTGCTGTTGTTTAAGTAGGTCAGGTCTGTCCTTAAACACTATCATGGATAGAATTAGAGTCATGTGATGTTAAGGATAGTCAAAGTAGTTTTCACTGATGGCCTGGCCTGCACGTTCTTGTTGGCTGTGAAGTATTAGCCTTATAATATGTTGAGCATGTTGCCAACCCACAGCTGTCGAAGGGCCTTAGAGACAAGGCACTGGTGAGAGCTATGTCTGGGAATTTAATAAAAAGAATGGCTATGGTTGAAAAAGGGAGTAACACCAAAATCTGAGGTTGGAAAGGAGTTAGTCAAAAAGATTCCAGGTCATTGAACCCAAAGTGTTCTTAGACCGCAAAGTGAAAGTGACAGTGGTGATCTGCTTTATTTTCTGGTTTGTGCTTTGAATATTTTTGGTGATAGCATAGAGATAAAGATGTTTTGGGGGACATATACACAGCAGCTCCTCCTGACCACTTCTCACTGCCTAAGTGCCCCTTTGGGAGGCCAGAATCATGTCCAATGCCAGACAGTTTTGGAGGACCACTTCTTGAAATTGATGTTATTTTATGGCAATCATGTTGGCGATTTCAGTCAGATTTCCCATGGTCCTGGTTATTTCCCAGAACAAAGCATGTAAATTGTGGGAGTTTGTAAAGAACTTTAGAACTATAAAAAGTGAGAAGAGTTTGGCTTCTCAGTTAATCAAGGACATGATAAAATCAACATGAAAGCACAGGGAATTACTCTAATAAGACACAGTATTTTTACATTTTAGGCAAATGACTTAGCAGTCCAAGAAAAAATTTTCTAATTTCTTGTTAAGAGCAGGTTAAAACATCCAAGGAAATTTTGTCATTTAACAGAAAGAAAAAAAAAATTCTAGTTTTGCATTAGTGTAATATTGGATATTAAAGTGCCTCTTAAAAAAATTATAAATAAACCCATTAATTCTTTGCCAGCTTTGACTTCAACAAATAAAACTCCCCATCACAACTTTTGTATCCACTTAAATTTTATCCTACATTTCCTTCTTTTTTATTTTGGAACAACCAGTCATTTTACTTTAGGACAAAATTATTTTTTTTCCTTAATAAAAACATATCTTCTATATTTGCATAAAAAGTTCTATATGCTACTAGTGCTTGCTCCTAATAGAGTTTCATTCACATATATTGATGATAACATTCATTCACACTAATTTTTATTTTAAGGAAACCTAGGAGGTCAATAATTATGAACCATCATATACTAATATTTTGTAGCAAACCACCAGAGGTTATGAATATATATCTTACAATTTTTTATAGCCATAACTATCCCTTACAGTACAACTTTTCAATGAGGCAAAAATGAATATGTTAATAGACCCAGACATATATAGCCTTAAAGATATGCCTAATAATTAATATTTCAGTATTTTACTTAAAAATAATCTAGTTATTTAATGAATATTCATTACTTAATTTAGTACAAGTCTGAGGTTTTTAATTTAGCAAAATATCTTGAAAACTGTTTTCAGGCTGATATATTTTGAAGCAGATTAGTGTTAAGATAGTTTTGTAAGACAATGATTTAATTTGGTTAAACAAATTTACATTTTTTAATAATCTTAAATATTTAATAGATGTAGTGCTAGTCTATTTGATCAGTAAGCCTACATAAGTTTAGGAGGAATATACCACAAAGAATAAAAATGTCTGTTTATATTTTATCTATACTTGATAACTCAGAAGACATAGCTGAATTTATTTAAACCAGTAATATTAAACTAGACTTGTTTGCCATGATTTACTTTAGTTATGTGAAGTTGAGTTTTTAAAATATTTGGGTTAGTTTCTGTGAGAATATTCTTGAAAATTTCAGATGTGAAATTTTCTTTTAACTTTTGAGAACTTTAGGAATATTTAATTTATAGAAGTGCTTATTTATCTCTAAGCCAATCAAAATAGAGTTCTTGAAAACATTTTGTAATCTAATATTTCAATACTACCTGGAGGTAGGAAAATAACATACATACATACATACATACATAAACATACAGCCAGATAAAATAGAGAACTCAAAGCTTTAATTTAAAATTTTAATTTATTGGTTAAAAACTGCTGACCCTTGCCCTTGACTACCCTTACTCTTTTAAAAAGCATCAGCATTGCATTTCTGGTAGATGGGGCAAGTTAAGGTGACCTATTTGATATCAGAGGTGAAGTGTCTCCAAAAATATTAGTGGAGGAGACCCTTAAGATTTTCTTTACTCTGATGTGTACTCTTATGGAGGCCGTGGACTGAATTTTGGGTCAGGGACTGGGGATACACCAAATGACCATCTGGGCATCTCTACAGCTCATCTGAGTTGATAAAACATCCAGCCTGGTTTTAATTAGCTTTTTCAGCATTAAGTGTATGCTCTTTGGATCCCTGAGTCCTTCAAGAGCTCCCAAGAGGGAGAGGAGGGCCTAGAGCTTAGATGACTATATGACATTGAAGGGTCCAAATGGGATGGAAAAGTTTTGGCAGAAGCAGATAGAGGGATGGAGGAGGTAGAAGTGCTGACAGATCAAAGGAGCTGAAGGGAAGTTTGAAAGTCATGAAAACGGAGGGGGGGTGGTTGTGGGAAGGGATGGGCAATTGATGAGCCAGTATGGGCAAAGCCCAAGCTGCCCAAGGAGGCCATTGAAGTTCTCAACTGTCTTGAGTGAAATTTTGCTATTTTTGAAGATACTGAACTGCATTAATGCCATTATAATGGAGCATAATGTCAGCAGGGAAGGAAGAGGGAGAATACCCAATAGAGTGGGAGTTACTCAAATGATTAGAGAATTGAAACAGATAAGACCTTAAAGGAGCCAGGAAAGAGTCCTCCTTGATTACTCCCTGGTACAGTTCCTGCCTGAAGGGCCTAGGAAATTCCCTACCCCAATCCCCACCAGCAGAGCCTTGGAAAGGAGTCCTCACACAGAAGAATAGGGAAGGTTCCTGCTCAAGAGTCAGGAAATGATTCCCCACTCAAAAGGCCAAAGAAAAATTTCTTTGCTTAAAAGAATCAAAGTAACTCCTTACTGTGATGTGACACACATGAAGCCCAGAGTGCTGATGTGAGAACTGAATTCACCAAAGGATTTCTGAATTCATGAACAAGAGAGGACTTCAAAGGATTTGCAAGGTGCCATTAGTTACCTGGACAGAGATGACATGGTTCTGTAAGTAAAGCCCAATCTTGAGTCAAGTCATGGTACTGTAAAACTGTCAAATAATAAATCCAGACTAAGGCAAAGAAAGACTTTATTGAAAAAGGCCATTGCAATAGGAGAATGCTCTGACCATAAGATCCAAAGCCATGTCAAAATCAAACAGGAAAAGGCTTTAAAAAAGAAATGGGAGTGGTAGGCAGGGCTAGCAGTAACTTCGCTGGGGGTGGGAAGCTCTGGGGGTGAGTAGACAGATAGATGACTGGGGTGGTTTAACAGGAAGTGTTTCTCTTGGAGTAGCCAGGAATGAACTGCATTTAGTGCTTGCCTAAGCTCCAGAGGGAGCCACAATGCAGGGGTTTGTGGAGAGAAGAGAACTGTTTGGTCAAACTAATGGGTTACTTATGAGTCACTGTGTGAGCGCTTAGCACTTGGTCATTACCATTCTGAAAACTCTCTCTGAATTCCCACTTTGCCTCTCTGTTCAAGTTGGTATTACTTGGCATTCTCTGGAATGACTGAAAAATATCACACTTTAAAGAGTCAAAGCCTCAGAGTGGCCAAGTTTCCAATGTAACCAGGTCCTCAGCTTCTCAGACTTCAGTGTTTCCTGGTCAAACTTCATATTCATGATTAGAAGCTTTAATTCAGTAGATATTTCACAACTGTTTTTCCAAAATAATCTCAACTCCCTGTGCAGGCACTGTCACTGAAATTTCAGGTGAAATTACAATTCCTTCCCAGCAAGAAGATGAGATAATGGTATCCCAACCTTTTACTCAGGGTTCAGATGACCCTTTTCCACATACGCAGACTGTGACAACTGCAGCCAGTACCCACACAGGAAATGGCACTTATAAAGTCACTACTTTCCCCTGCTAGGTCTCATATTCCTGAAAGCAATGGCATCTAAGGATAGGGAGTAAGAAATACTTGGATAAAACAGTGCTGCTTTCTGGTTTGGAGCACAGTCTCTAACTACAGAGGCAGGAGAGGGTTTTGTTTGTTTGTTTTCTGAGGGAATCAGAGGCAGGAACCACCCTTGTGTATTTGCTTCAGTGGATCACTTACCTTTGCAACCGTGGTCCTGTCTGAAGTCTTTTCTCTTGTCCCGACCTGAAAATATTGACACCGACACAACTGACTAAAGCCTTAGGCTACCTGTATTGAATTAAACATAGTTTATTAGCCCCCAGACCCTTGGCCTGGTCCTGGCGCTGCGGAACTACATCACCCAGAAGGCACCCCCCTTGAGCATAGGCGTCCCTGGGCCACTGAAGGACCTGGAGGGGGACGTTTCCGCGCCTTACGCGTCACTTCAGGGCGGGACTTCTGGCACTTTACTGGCGGCGGTTATTTTATCTGCTCTCGGTTTGGTCCATCGGTCGGGGACTCCGGAGCACTGTGTCGCACTCGAGGTGACGGGAGGGAAAGCGTTGTCCCCACTGCACGGGGGCGGGCCTGGGGCTCGGCCCTTGCCGCCCGCCGCGCCAGCCTCACTCCCTGCGGCTCCGGTGGCCGCGCTGCTGGACCCGGCGCAGGTGGGTGCCATTCCCAGGCCGCCCTCCGACCCGACCCCCACCGCCCAAACGCTAGGGCCCCGAGCGAGAGCTGCCGCTCAGGTCACTGTGTCCAGGACCCTGGGGTGCTTGCGAGTGGGGTCCCCATTTCCGGCAGCCAGCGAGGGAGGTGCGGGAGAGTTGCAGAGGCTTAGATGTGCGGCCGAGTCGGGGCACTTGGGAAACCTTGGGGGGAACCTCGGGTTTGGGCGGGGTCTGCAAGGATCGGAATGGGAGGAGAGGCGGCTCGGCTGCACTGGCCACCTGGACCTTCACTCCGAGGACGCCACAAGCCAGGGCGAGTTGTGAACAGCAGAGGGACACAATCTGGGTTAGGATTCGAAGCGTTTCCCAAAGGTGGCTCGGGAGAGTGGGGGCTGGAGCGGGCGCTGATGACGGTGGAGGGAGGGAGACCCAGGAAGACCCTGCTGCCCCGGCGCCCGCGGAGTTCCCCTGGCGACCAGATCCCCGGCGGCGGGGCAGGAGGGCAGGGTCATCAATTCCAGATAGATCCGAAGGATGGAGCCCTTGGGGTGTCCTGCCTCTGCCGAGGAAAGTAGGGAGTGAAGGACCATCCCAAGTTGTTTTCTGTTTCTTGTTGCTCAACATCTGGGAGAATGGAGGCGGAGAAGTCGGGTGGAGGGAGCAGGTTGCTGCGGGGAAGGAAGGTCAGCGGTTGGTTTAGTGATTCTGAGATGTTCCAGAAGCGTGACAGACAGAGACAGAGAGAGACATGGACAGCTGGACAAGCAAGCCTGCAGTTCCAGAAGGGTTCTACCCTGGGGATGTCCAAGGGGGACTTTAGAGCTGGACCAGGGCATAGCGTGGGGATCAGATTTAGGAGAGGGAATCTTAAGAGGCTTATTCCAAATGGGCGTGAAGTGAGAAAGGCACGTGTTGGAGGGTAGGCCTAGCGTTCAGGTTCAGGTTGCTGAGTCTTCCTCTGGAGGGAAGGTGCCTTCAGTTCCAGTGGGTTCTGGCTGTTATCTGAGGGAAGGGAGGCCTGCGGTGGGTAGGCAGCCAGGCCAGCAGGGACAGGGACAGTGCTGTTGGGTGATCTAAGTCAGCGCCCTGCGGGCTCAGCAGGACCTTTTGTCTACTCCCTGTGAGCAGGAGAAGAGGCAGCTAGGCCAGCAGAGTGACCCAGGCCAGGCCAGGGAAAGGGTGCATCAGCCTCTCAGGCTCTTGCAGGCCCCCGGGGGAGGGGTGATCCGATGTTCTAAACAAGGCTTCCTTGAGCAGGTTCTCCTTCCCAGCAGCAAGCACGCGCCCAGGCTGCTTTAGTGAAGGAGCTAGTGTCCCACTGGTCTGCTTAGACCCAACCTCCAAAATTTATTTATGAAGTAATTGCTTCTTTAAACATTTCTCTAAATAGAAACACTCAATAGAAATTTAAAACTTACGGATTTATTTGGTTAAATTTATGCAAATTCTTACTAATTGCTTGAAAAGTTATTATACCTCTAAACATTTGGGTAAAATCAAAAGTCCTAAACATCATATTCTGTTAAATGCTTAAAAAGCAGGAAAGCCACCCACATTTTCAAAAGCTCCTTACTTCATTGGCACCAAAAGCATTTACCAAAGCGTTAGTCCTGTGGACAGGAAAAGCTCAGACTTAGCACTTGACATGTACTAAAGTGTTTGATATTAACAACAGCCCTATGACTTGGGTACCATTTGACAGATGAGGACATTGATGCACACAGAGGGTGAGTCCTTGGCAGGTTCATGCAGCCAGTATGAGACAGTGCGGTAATAGGATCCCAGGTTTCCCTTTGAATGCAAACATACACAGACCCAGCTACTCTCTAGCAGCCGCCCTGTTTCTCCTCATCATGGCCCTGGTTGCTGTCAGGACTTGCCTTGTTTTCTCCTTTGTTGGATATGTGGCTCAACCCCTCACTTCATTCCAGGCTTGTCAGTATGCCCTCCTTTGAGAAGCCTTCTTTGGTCACCCTCAATCTCTCATCTCCTCACTCTCGTCTGCAGAATTCTCTTGACCATTTATCTAGTTCCTTGTGGGTGATCTGTCTGCAGCCCTGGAATATGAGCCTCTTCCTGACCTATCCCCAGGCTTATAGGCATCCTGGTCTGTACCAGGGGTTCCATAAATGCATGCATGATGCTCCCCTTCCCCGGCTCCTGGCAGGACAAATCCAACCTCCCCACCAAGCCTCAGAAGGTCCCATCCTTGGAGACCATCTCCGACCTTGTCTCCTAATATCCTTCCCTCGCTCACTGCCCTCCAGTCACACCAACCTGAGTATGCCAAGCTCTTTCCCACTTCCCAGCATTTGCCCTTAGAGTTACCTCTGCCTGGGACCCTGTGGCCAGATCTCTCCTTGGCTGTCCTTTCACATCCTTCTGGCTCAACTCAAATGTCACCTCTTAGAAGAGGCCTTTCCTGGCAGTTCTAGCTAAAATAGCCCCTGTCCCTGCCTGCCCTCATTTTGGCATTTTTGTACAGGGAATTTGGCATAATTACAGAAGCAAAGATGCAGGCTGAGTCAAGCTTTTCTAGGTTGCTGAGGGAGTAAATAGGAAAAATAATAATAATCGAACAACCATAAGATTGGCCTTCATTGAGCCCTTGCCATGTACTGAGGGGCAGTTGTTATGTACCACTTCATTTAAGTCTTATCTCCTTAGAATTAGTTTCTATTATTATCCTTACTTCACAGAAGAGGAACTTGAGGCTCAGAGAAGTTAAATCACCTGTCTAAGGTCACACAGCTCCTAAACAGCAGAAACTCAAACTCAATATGTCAACCACCAGAGCCTGTATTCCTAACCATGACAAAACCCATAGTGGGCTGGGGAGGCCTGTGGGTGACACCTAAAGTCTACTTTGCAGAATGAGTTCAGGTTTAGGGATGAGGAGAGCATACGGGGCATTCTAGGTAGAGGAAACCTGTGGGCAAAGGCAGGGATGTAGGCTGTTCAAGGAGTCATGAGAGGACCTGTGTGGTTAATGAGGGCCTCCATCTGCTGAGATATATCCTGGAGGGCAAAACGGTAACAGCATTTGCTGGATATTCATTGTGGAGATGGAGGAGTGTGGGGGTTATACACATAGACCCTGAAGCAGAGGATCCTGGGTTCAGATCCTGCCTTATCAGATATGGGACTGGCTAGATGTCTCTGAGCCTCAGCTTGCTGACTGTGACATGGAGACTAATGGTCATATTGGCCTCATGGGCTGTGGGAAGACTAATACAAGTTAGCAAAACCACACTGAGCACAGACGTGTGCCAGGCATCCCAGTGTTTGCCTTAGGAACAGTTCACGTTCATTCTGACAACAGCCTAGAGAAGTGGGAACTATCAATATATCGAAGCAGAAAGCGCTGCACAGAGAGATGCAGTCATTTCCCCAGGATTGCACAGTGGGCAAGTGTAGGATTCAAGAAACCAGATTCAAACCCAGGAGTCGGGCCCCAGTGATGGGGACACTGCATCACTTTGTGACACAGTTTGGAGCCAGGCACACGGTGAAGGCTAGTAAGACTCAGAGCTCCTGCTGTGACCATTGTTGGCATTGAGATTATTGCTACATTGTTTCCTTCTTCCTCTGATGTCCTTGAGTGCTTCCTGCCTGCTCCTTCCAGGACACAGGGGCTTAATATTGTCTTGTGTCATTCTCCAGTGGCTTCCCCTGTAGAAGTGACACAATCACATTCTGTGCAAAGGCAGCATCCACCCCCAGCTGGAGCCCAGAAGAGCTGGGCCCTTAGGAGGAGCACAGTGAGTTGGACCTTGGGTGCTCCATGATCTTTTCCAATGACTGAGTGACAGACTCTAATCCTATCCTATTACAAGGCCAACATCCCTACCTTTCTTTGACTTTCTAGGGATTGGTGACCTTTGAGGATATGGCCATGACCTTCAGGAGGTCCTGGCCCAGAGGATAGAGCCCAAAGGACCGTGTACCAGGAGGGGATGCTGCAGACTTGGACACCCTGCTCTTGCTGGGCATGCCCGCATGTGTGCCGCCTCGGGGGCCTGCAGCATCCTGCATTCTGCCCTCGCACAGGGCCTGCCCTCCCTTTTCCCCACACCTCTTGCCTTCTTGGGTCTCGCATCCTGCCTGGTCTCCCTGTGTCTCTATCAGGGATTGGTGGGACTAGAATCAGGGTCCCCTTCAAAATGGTGCAAAGCCAAGGGAGAACGTGTGGGAGGGGAATGGAGATACACCACAGAGGCCGAGGGCAGACTGTCCAGGTGGGCTCCGTGAGAGACTGAGAGCAAGGTCTACAAGGAACAGAGGTGTGGCCTCGAGGTCTCTTCTCGTGGCCTCTCTCTCTGTCTGCTTGCCCAAGAAGGAAGGTGAGTCAGGTGCCCAGAGTGCCTGATGGCAAATTCCGCCTCTGCTGCTCCTGAGCTTTGGGACCTGGGCACGGTCCTTACCTTTCTGTACCTCAGTTTCCTCGTTGGTCAAGTGCGGTCATATAGTGTCTAACTGGCAGGGCTGTTGCCAGGTCAAGCAGACTGATGTGTGAGAAGGCTTGGGACAGAGACTGGGTGCTCCCTGACTGTGCGGATTAGCACTTGTGATCCCTACTGCTGTCATGACAGGTCATGCCCGGACTCAGCACCTTGTGGAGCCAGGTCATGTAGCTCTGCCGATAAACATCACAGACACCACACACAGCCATAACTGGGCTTCTGTCTTGGCTTGGCCACTCACCATTTCCAGGCATTTAAAATGTTTAACGCAGCCCCTGAGACATGCTAGTACCCCATAATGTTAGTTCTGGTCTTACTGTTAGGATAAAAATTCCCATGGGGCATGGCGAATTAAGCCCTTGGACTCAGGAGTCACAGTGTGCATCTTGGCACTGACACTTACCAGCTGTGGGACTTGGGGCATGTTATTGACACTCTCTGTGCCTCAGTTTCTTAATCTGTGAAGTGAACCATAGCAGTATTGGTCTGATAGTGGTAGTATATGAATTGAAATTGATTCATATTTATAAAGCT